TCGCATCAGTGGCCACTGAGTGTTTTATTTAACCCTAATGGATTAATGTCCTGCTGGGAACTTGGACTTATGACTGAATTCATGTGGAAAGACATCAACCTGTAAATCTGCTCACTGCCCTTAATTCACTGCATTATGCTTGGGTCCAAAACAAATGTGTTTCTTTTTTCATTATGCAAATGATTATCTGGTGTTTGTGGGAGTAAAATGTGTTGTGTACAATAAATAAATGAATTACATCGCAGAATCAAACCATAAACTTCTCATTTAGTCCAGTCATGAGTTGTCTAAACCTTAGATATATAGAGGAACTAACCACTGACATTTAAATTTACATTCTGCACTTTTTTATATTATAAATGAGCCAGTGCTCATGTTAAACGTAGGTTTAGCTGCAATTATATTATCAGGCTATTTTGCTAAACATCCAATTCCAACGTGTTAAAATTTGTACACTGCAAAAACGATCTGGAAAACGAGTAAAAATGTCTTAAAATTAGTGTATTTAGCATAATTCAAGCAAGTAAATAATAAGATTTGCCAATGAAATGAGTATTTTTACTCTTAAAATAAGATAATTAGATAATATCCACTTGGAATAAGACAATGCAATTGTTTTTGTTGTTGTCTTATTTTAGATGTAAATTGCCTTATTCCATTGGCAAAGTGTATCACTTAACTGCTTAATTCGAGAAAGAAATGCTCTTTTTTAAAGAAAAATAAAAACTTACTTAGATTTCAATTTTTGCAGTGTACTAAGTAGTATTAATTTTTCTCAGGAGGTTATTCAGGCCTTTTTCATATAGAAAAAAATGTTGTTTCATAAAGTGATTTGGAAAAAAATGAGCATCTGTAGAAGTTCATGTAGCACAACATTAGTGCTGTGGCACTAACACAGAATAAATCAAAAATAGTCTAAAAATGCATCATATTTAGAGTATTTATCTTTATTTTTATTGTAATTATCTGTTTTTATTTGTATTTATATTATTTTATCTTATCCTGAGCAGAAGTTTACGTCACGCAGCGATCAATTTTTATTTTAGTCTGAGCCAGGGGCGGATTTAGGAAATTTGGGGCCCTAGGTAAAGACAGGCAGGGGGCCCCTCTGAATGGAGAAGACAACACATAAAACAGCCCCATTCCCCAGATAGAG